AGATTGTATTTTTTCTAGGAATATGTCTATTTTGTAAAGGTTGCCCAGTTTTTTTGGAATTGAGTTGTTCATAGTATTTTTTATGATTCTTTGTTTTGCTGTGTAGTCAGTTGTTACTTGACCTCTGTTTATTTGGGTCCCTTCTCTTTGTTTCTTATTGAATCTGGCTAGAAATTCATCAATCTTGTTTATACTTTCAAAGAATCATCTCTTGGTTTTATTGTTTTTTGGTATTGTTTTCTTTGGTCTCTATGTCACTTATTTATGCTCTGACATTTCTTATTTCCTTCCTTCTACTCATTCTGGTCTTTTATTGTTGCTCTCTTTCTAATTTTTTAAATTATTTGGTTAGATAACTTATTACAAATGTTTCTTGTTTTTAAGATAGGCCTGTAGTACTATTAACTTCTTTTCAGGATTATTTTCACTGTGTCCCATAGATTTTGGATTGTTGTGTTTTCATTGTCATTTGTTTCCAGGATATATATTTTTGTTTTGTTTCTTCTTTGATCTCTTTGGTAACCCACTCATTGTTTAATAGCATGCTGTTTAGTCTTCATGTGTTTGATTGTTTTTGAATGTTTTTATAGTGTATGTCTAATTTTATGGCATTGTGATTTGAGAAGATGGTTGATATGATTTCAATCTTCTTGAATTTGTAGAGACTTGCCCTGTGGTCTACCTTTGAAAATGTCTCATGTGCACATGAGAAAAATGTATATTCCATTGCTTTAGGGTGAAATGTTCTGAAGATGTTAATTAGTTCCATGTGATCTAGTCTATGATTTAGGATTTCTGTTTCCTTATTGATATTTTGTCTAGAAGATTTATCCTGTTATGTCAATGGGGTATTAAAGTCCCCTACTATGATTGCATTGCTATATCTCCCTTGATTACTTCCAGGGTTATTTCTTCTTGCTGGATTGATCCTGTTTGTATTATGAAGTGGTCACCATTACCTCTTGTTATGGCCTTCATTTTGACGTCTAGTTTGTCAGATATAAGTATTGCTACCCCAACTTTTCTTTTTTTTAATTTGCCTGAAATTTTTTTTCATGACTTCACATTCAGTCTGTGTGAGTCCTGTGTTCTGAGGCAGGTCTCTTTTAGACAGCATAAGTATGGGTCATGTTTTCTTAACCTTTTGACTACCCTGTCTTATTATTGGAACATTTAATCCATTTACTTTTAAGGTTATTATAGATAAGTACTTATTTATTGCCATTTTTATTCTTTATGCCTGTGCTTCTCCCTATTATTCCTTCATATATATATATATATTTTATTGATTTTTTTACAAAGAGGAAGGGAGAAAGATAGAGAGCTAGAAACGTCGATGAGAGAGAAACATTGACCAGTTGCCTCTTGCACACCCCCTACTGGGGATGTGCCCGCAACCAAGGTGCATGCCCTTGACCGGAATCGAACCCGGGACCTTTCAGTCTGCGGATGGACGCTCTACCACTGCGTCAAACCGGTTTCGGCTATTATTCCTTCTTAAAGCAGTCTCTTTAGGATTTCTTACATTACTGGTTTGATGGTAATAAACTCCTTTAGCTTTTGTGTGTGAAGCTCCTGATTTTTTCTTCAATTTTGAATGACAGTCTTGCTGGATAGAATGTCTTGGATTCAGTTCCTTGCTTTTCTTTACTTTTTGTATTTCCTGCCACTCTCTTCTGTCCTGAAGTGTTTCTGTTGAGAAATCAGCTAATAGCCTAATGGGATATCCCTTATAGGTAACTTTCTGTCTCTGTCTTGAAACCTTTAAGATTTTTTTTTGTATTTAACACATGGCATTTTAATTATAATGTGTCTTTGTGTGGGTTTTTTGGGGGGTTCATCTTGATTGGAACTGTCTGTGCTTCTTGGACTTGTGTGACTTTTTTCTTCCCCAAGTCAGGGAAGTTTTCTGTCATGATTTCATTATTTCTTCAAACAGGCTTTCTATTCTTTGTTCTGTTTCTTCTCTTTCTGGTACCCCAATTATGCAGATGTTTCTTCATTTCATGTTGTCCCTAAGCTTCCCTAAATTCTCTTCCTGGTTTTTAATTTTTTTCCTTCAATTTCTGCTCTGATTGTGTTTTTTTCTCTACCTTATCTTCTATCTCATTGATTTGTTCCTCCGCTTCTTCTAATATACTGTTGAAGCCTTCCAGTGTGTTATTTATTACAGGCATGTCATTCTTCATTTCCTCTTAATTCTTATCCATGTTGGTGTATTTTTTACTCAGCTCCTTATAATTCTCATTGAGCTGCTTGTAATTAGTAGTCAGATGTTTGAGCATCCTTAAATCATTACTTTGAATTCTTTATCTAACAAATTATTTGCCTCCGTTTCCTTTTCTGGCAATTCCTCCCTCCTTCCTTCCTTCCTCCCTTCTCTTCCTCCCTCCCTCCCTCCCTCCCTCCCTCCCTCCCTCCCTCCCTCCATCCTTCATCCTTCTTCCTTCCTTCCTTCCTTCCTTCCTTCCTTCCTTCCTTCCTTCCTTCCTTCCTTCCTTCCTTCCTTCCTTCCTTCCTTTCTTTCTTTCTTTCTTTCTTTCTTTCTTTCTTTCTTTCTTTCTTTCTTTCTTTCTGTCCCCACTTTTGCTTTCCCTTTGTATTTGTTTCTTGTTGCTAAGCCACCTAAGCTTTTTTTTTTTTTGGGGGGGGGTGGCGGTCATCCTATATAGACATTGTTTTGTGAGACCCAGTGGTGCAATCTCTCAGATCTCCTTGACTAGGTGTTCTAGGAAAATCCCTTACTTGAGTTACTTGGATTCTCCTGATGTATTTAGGTCTTGAATGTTATTGTCCCATGCTCTTTAACTATGTGCCTCACCTTCAACCTCTTGGTGCAAGTTGTTGTAGATGTGTTGCTTGCTGCTCCAGGTGACCCACTGATCCGCCACTTGTGTCTGTCTCCAAAGACTGTGGCCACAAGCAGGAGGGGCAATCTGCCCTCTAAGGTATGCCTGTTAGGCCCATGGGACTCAGGGCTGGTTCAGCCAAGGTATGCTGGCTCCCTGGCCTTTGCCTCTGCCCTTCTTTGTCTGTCAGCCAGCTGTCAATCTTAATCATTCAAAAGTCTGTTTCTGACAGAGCTTTAGGAAAAAGAGGTAATGTTTAGCTTTCAGAGAATATAATGTATGTGTTTTCCTATCCCACTTGATTGTTGATGTACTATTCGTAGGAAGGATTTCTCCTCTGATTTGCTACCAGTGAGACAGGAACTCATTGGATTTTGCTCTGATATTGTTGAATCTGGTCCCTTGGTATCTATCCTAGGTCTCCTGGATCTGCTCTAGTGCAGGAGAATATGAGTTGCTGTCTGTTCTTTATCCTATGCAACTTGATTGAGATCCAAAAGGCTGAAGCCCCTAGCAGTCCAGTGGTCATGGATTCCTTAGCGCAGAGGCTGGGTCTAACTTGTGTCTCACGCCTTAATTGTCTCTGTTCTGAGTTGTACTCCCTTCCCTCACTGATCTGGTCCCTCAGTTCACTGCAGATGGCAGGATGGCATATACACTGTCCCTTTAGTGTGCACTAATTGCATGGTCCGAGTCTGGGCAGGGCGGCGCAGGAGGTCCCTCTGGTGTGCATTCACTGTGTAGACCTGGAGCCCACTCACTGTTGTGGTCCCTGTTTCTGCAACAGGTCTCTTGCAAGTTCCCACTGACCAGCGACTCGTTGCACGGGTCTAAAGTAGAGTCCAAGGCCAGTCTAGTGATGATGAGGCTGTGCTTCTAGCCACCACTGCTGCCCCATGGCATGGTTTCTGTGTTAGAGCCACGCCTGCCCAAGGAGTGCCTGTGATAGTAGCAAGGGTTCTTTGTCCAGGAGAGCCTGATCCGCTAGACCCTGAGACTCCTGTGAGATCTAACTGTTCCTCATTCACACACACACAAATACACACACACCACACACGTCCACACACACCCCCCTATCACTGCCTTACAGCCTCTCCCTCACTGAAGTCCTGCTCCCTATCTATATTTTCATTGTCATCTCTACTACCTTCCTTCATGTATTTCAACCTTTAAAAAATAAATGCTCTCTTTCTTTGCTTCTGTGGGTAATTTCAGATTTCTTACTTTTTTTCCTTCTCCATTCCTTGCCAGCTATCTTCAAAAATCTTTTCTTCACAGAGCTGGTAAAGAATGCCTCTCTCCATAGTTCTCTATCTTCTATAAGCACAGTCCTTGGGCACTGGCACTGTTATTTACCAGGTTGTATTTAAAGTTATCTTTTTATGTGTTTCCCTAATTAAACTGTACATTGCAATATTTTGTCTTTTTAAACACTGTTTAATATATAACTAGTACCTACGGCTTAGTACATACTATTAGCATATATCTTTTTTTCATTTAATGTACTTCTGAAAGTTGAACATAGAATATTTATATTGTACACATTATTATGAATATTACCCCAGTGACTATAAGTAATATTACTTAGCAATCTCTATGGAAGTATGACTCAATAAAACACTTTCTTATTTGGTAGGGTTTTTGCATACAACACCTAAATCTGAACATTTTGTGAGCATAAGAGCTGCTACCATTGTTTCTTTATTTTTCTTGATATAAATTTACTTTTTTCTTGGTTCTTTAAATTTTTTTCATATGAAATACAAAGAATTCACCGAGCTGAGTCCCATTGTTTCTAGCATATTATTTTCTTATTGAACAAGCCATAATTTCTAATAAAATGTCACTGTGTAACAAGCTTTACCTTACCTTAGGAGCTCCAGACACATTTACAAAAGCTTGGGAAGCATGGAATTGCTGAGATGGCAGAGAAATGAAATTCTGTAGGCATATCTTTTTCTTGTGTTAATACCATATTTATGAGATCGTAAATACATTCTATTTCTAACCAAATCAGTTTGTACTTATTACAAAGAGCTATATCTTGAAATATGCCAAACATTTGAAGGCCATTTTTCACTATCTACACTCAGAGAAGGTATAGATATTAACAGGAATAAACAGAAAACTAATTAAGTTCCTTAGTCATACCTTTCTGAGGCAGGTTCTTTAAAAAGGTCCACAAAATCACTATGTTTGAAATCCGAAAAAGAGAATATTACCTTATCTAAGTTAACTTGTTGTGTAAAAACCTATAGGAATAAGAAAGAATAGAAAATTATGGCTAAGATTTCAGAAACATGTAGCTTCTTAAAATATAACCAGAAGTACAAATTGACTGTTATATGAACAGTCAGGAATGCAAAGTCTAGCGTAGGATATACAGTCAATAATATGATAATAACTATGCATGGTGTCAGATGGGTACTAGATTTATCAGCATGATGACTTTTCAAGGTATATAAATGTCTAATCACTATGTTGTACACCTGAAAACTAATTTAATATTGTATGTCAACTATAATTTGAAATTTTAAAAATATTTTTTAAACTAAGGTCTCAAATAACAGAATTAAAGCCATAATCACATGGTTTTTACTCCTAGAAAATCACTTGAAATGTGTCTCTCCCTAATCTATATTTTCCAATCTGTCAAGATAGACTGTAGAATACGATGCATATACAGGTGATTTTTATTAACTCACCCAAGTTATTTTCCAAAGTAAATAAAAAATAAGTTCATATTTCTTTTATTTCTTTTTAAAAAGTATGTTTTCATTGATTTTTGAGAGAGAAAGAGAAACAATGATGAGAAACATCGATCGGCTGCCTCCTGTACAACACCGCCCACAACCTGAGCATGTGCCGTGATAAGGAATTAAACCAGCAACCTCTGGGTGCAAGGGGTGATAGGCAACCAACTAAGCCACACTAGCCAGGTTAAGCTTCATTTAAAAAAAAAAAAAAAGATTATGACTTCAACTCAGAAATTTTTACAATGAGTGTTGAGTTTATTGTAAATATAAAATTCCCAACATTATATTTATCTTTATTTTAGAACTTGCATAGTCTAATACAATAATTCTAAGCATGTCTCTGCCATGAGAATTTGTACTGCCTGATGGTCTTTAGGCCATTTTGTGGCATCCGCAACCTTCCAGTACAGTACCTAGCCCACCAGTAAACAGAACTGAATATAATGAAAGGGGAAAAGTCATTAAAATTAAGATTCAGTAATGAATATTTTGGCCCTCAATTCTGTCTCAATTAATCTATTCATTTGACAATTCTTTCCTGGGGGCCTATGATTAGAATACAATGTTCTAAATGCTCTCAATGAAACACTGAACAAGAGAGGCTTGTGTCCTGCCCTGTGGAGCTATATATTCTGGGGAGAGAGGAAATACATAAGCAAGCAGGTAAACTTACATCTGGCAATTAGTGTTAATGCAATAACACAGTATGGTGTTACAAATAGCCATGTACCTAAAAAATACCAGGAAGGGCTATGAAAAAGAAGCATCCTGAGAAGAAGGTGCAGGCCCAGCATCTGGGCAGCCTTCTCTAGTGCAGAGAAAGCCTAATTTCCCACCCTCAGCTCATGTCTCTCTATTTGTCATGTAGCATATCCAGCCACAGCCAGTGTTCTGTGTGTGTGTGTGTGTGTGTGTGTGTGTGTGTGTGTGTGTATATATCTCTTATTGGTTTTTTACAGAGAGGAAGAGAGGGATAGAGAGTTAGAAACATCAATGAGAGAGAGCCATCGATCAGTTGCCTCTTGCACACCCCCTACTGGGGATGTGCCCACAACCAAGGTACATGCCCTTGACCAGAATTGAACCTGGGACCTTTCAGTCCACAGGCCAACAACCCTCTATCCACTGAGCCAAACCAGTTTCGGCCTTTTCATCTTTTTTAAAGTGTTATTTGGTGACTTTTATTTTTTTTAAAACATATTAATTTTTCCCCTCTTACAGGTGTATGTGTTTTGATTGATTCCATAAAACTTCCTAGTCCTGGAATACCTCTTGTGGGCATGTATACAGACATCATTCCACAACATGAACCCAACAAAAGAGGTTTTAAAACTAAGCACATTAATGGAAAGATATAAACAACTATTCAGCATTCCCACCATATACACACTTTTCCTTCCTTACCTAATATTGTCTGATTAATCTTGGTGTTAGGTTTTTCCAAGCTTTTAAATCAGCCAATAAAATCACATGCACACAATACAAATTTTTAAATTATGAAATTATTGTTGTTTAAATTGAGGATAACTATCATCTTTATTATATTAAGTCTTATTAATATGATATAGCTATTATAATATTTTATTATATTCTCAATAGCAATTCATACCTTTTCTTATATTTACTCCTATATACTTACTAGCTGGTGCCATTGTAAATGTAATTATATAGATTATACCGTTATATTTGCTAACCACTGCATAATGAATGAGCAAACAAGTTTTCATAAATAATTTTGTATTTATTCTATTACAAATATTTTATAAAATATTTCTTTGTAATTTCTTCTTTGACACACATGTTTAGAAGAATATGTCTTTAAATTTTAAATGTACATTTTACCCTTTTGTGGTTGACTTATTACTGAGTTTCTTTATGTCAGAGACCACAGTCAGTACTAAGATTATATGACATTTGCTGAGAGATATTTTGATTTGATATCTGATAATTTTTTATAAATGACCTATCTATGCTTAAAAAGAATATATATTCTTTAAATTTAAAAGCAAGTTTATTTATGTTTATTATACTTCACTTGCTAATTGATTTTTGGTAATTTCTACTGTCTAATCTATTGATAGGATTTATTTTTAAATGTTCTACTATCATAGTAAAGTTATTCATTATTCCTCCTTGTAGTTCTGTCCAATATGAATTTATATATTCTGAAGCTGTAATTGGGTATTTATAAATATAGAATTTTATGTCTTCCTTGTGAACTAACCCTTCCAGTATTACATAGTGAACTCTTAATGCCTAATGCTTTTGCTTCTTTCTCTTTGTCTTCTATTACTATAGTTTCAACAGCTCTCTTTTCTTAATGCTGCTTTGTGTATTTTCCTTTACAATGTCAAGGAAAAATGTTTCCCAAAGATTTCTTTTCATTAAACTATATGGGTGACTAATAAATTAAATGTGTTCTATAGAGTTAATCCAGTCCTGAAAACTAGTTTATTAATAGTAGTTTGTAAAACAAGTGCCTAAAAATTAATTTCCGAATAATTAAAACAGAAATGTGAAGATTGTGAATGTGACGCGATGGACAAGTGAGGTGGTGCTATCACATCAACAGGATCCCTCCCATTTCCATCCATCACCGTACATTCCCTCAAGGAAGTGACATCGCCTGAGTAAGAAGTCCCAGCACAATTTAAACCTGAGGCTTATTTCAAGTCAACTTGAGTACATTTCTCAAAGAAGCAAACTGCTCTCGCCGGCTGCAGCTCAGGCTGAAGGCTCATCAGGGCTCTAATATGTCTGATGAATGACATGCGACTTGGCTAACGACGTCAAGAAGGCACAAGATGTCAGATCTTCTCACAGACTGTTCTCCAAATCAAATTAATGCCAAATTAGAGAAAAGGCTGATAAATGTTTCTGACCAGGCTAAGTTAGTTTTTCTGCACTGCATATGCCAAAGAAGTTATGAAAACAAGGTAATTCTATAAGATAGTAGCCTGGTTTCTAGGCTTTTCTCTGTAATGAAGAGCTGTATGTCACAGATGAATCATTTCAGTTCTCTCTAGGACTTAATTTCTTCACTCTAAAATAAATGAAAAAACTTAGTCTACCTTTCAAATTTAACATCTACACGTCTATGCATTTAGACAATTCCTAGGAACATCATCTTAACTGAAAGGCCATCAAGTGGCTACTTAATCAGCTAATTCTGATTTTAAAAATCAGCTGACTTTGCCAACATACTCTAAAAGCCATGCAGAAGTGTACTAAGATACTCTTTTCTAAAAATGAAACTTTAAAGTATATCAAAACTCACTTTAGATAAGTAAAAATAAATAAATAAGTAAATAAATAAATAAATAAATAGTGCTCAGTTGTAGATTGCAGTTATACAAAGGATCCACTCAGGATATTCTGTGAAATTATTCACTTCCAAATTGCCATTCAGATCAGAGACAAGTATCCACAGTGGGCTGAGAGCCCAGCAGCACACTAAGAGTCAGACACTGCTGGTCAGAGATGCACTGACACCTTTAAGGCCACCTGACATGTCACATAAAAATCTTCAAAGTTGTTTTTCAAAGAAGCAGCATAACTGTCATCCCTCAGGGGAGGTGGCAGCTACATTGGAAAGTAAGGGAAGCAGTGCTTATTCTCGATACTAATTTTTATCTCTGTTAAATGCTGGAATTTACGGAAGTGACTTATGAGGACCCCACCATGATGGAAGTCCTAACGCTCCCGCAGGTGAGATGAGAGAAAAATGCAAGGCACCCACAAGATGAAAATTTCCTTTTTTTACTCTAAACTTAGTGGTATCTCCACAAGGAAGGTAATATTAAGGTCAGAGTTTTTGCCCCAGATTTTTTACAACCATAGTCTGGAGACACTGTGCCATACTTTCTCTATCAACTAAAAATGTCATCAGCAATATATTTAAGTTGCTTCAAATTTTATTTTGTATCTGTTACTAACAAAAATGAAATAGAACCTAAATAAATAAAATTTCCAGAACAGCAGCTAAAAGAGTTTTCTTTAGAGTTTCAAAAAGTTCCATTCTTTCAAACCCATTTCTTAGTGATTTGAAAGTGATTTTAACTACTAGCCACAGTTAATTATCAGAGATGCCTCCTTTTCTAGTTTTACCTCATTAGGAAGTGATTTATGTGTTGCTTCCTGGCTGGATGAAGGCAAATGAAGGGTAGGGTCATCTTTCTGCTGATCTTTTCCTGAACAAAGATAAGGAAAGAACTGATCAAATGCAAAGGATTACACAGAAGGGAAAACTGAGTCTGAATGAGAAAAATCAAGCTGTGTAAAGGGAATTTACACCTACCTTCCTTATTTTATATTTGTATCATTTTTAAAAATATATTTTATTGATTTTTTACAGAGAGGAAGAGAGAGAGAGAGAGAGAGCTAGAAACGTCGATGAGAGAGAAACATCGACCAGCTGCCTCTTGCACACCCCCTACTGGGGTTGTGCCCACAACCACGGTACATGCCCTTGACCGGAATCGAACCTGGGATCTTTCAGTCCGCAGACCGATGCTCTACCACTGAGCCAAACCGGCTTCGGCAATATATTTGTATCATTTTATCTCTTAGGTTATAATCACTTTTCTCCCTACTTTGAAAAACTAACAGAGCAAACATGACCCTTCTTCTAGGATTATCCTCAGGATATTTATTTTTGAGGAGTCCTTTTGTTTCTACTTCTACATTATTCAAGGAAGTGTATTTAGGTTAGTTCTAAATATATACAACTTACAGAACGTATGCATTGGAATCTATTGAAGAATTGTTTCAGAATCTACTTCTTAGATTAAAAAAAAAATGTTACATATGTCTCACTTAGCTAAGTAATGTTTTGTATTATTACCAATGAATAAATTACCAATATGTAAATGTATATAGAAAACTGGTATAGTCTTTATTGAAAAACATAATATGAGTTATCCCTACAAATTGCTGGTTTTATTACAAGAGTGTTGCTAATTACCTTAATTCTTCTGCATAGAATCTTTCAGATAGGAGCCCAGAGAGATATTTTTCCCTAATCTTAGAATTGAGTTTTCAGAGTACTGTTTCCCATATTATGGCAGCCTTAAATATTGTAATTTAGAAATGTTGTAACAGCATATTACACAATCAATAAAAATATAGTAAACAAATACTTTGAACACTAAAAAGTACATTACTGAATGTGTTTAAAGGGAAATAAAATGGAAATTATAAACTATTATAACATATACATCTGTATATGTATTTATATTAAGAAATGTCAGCCGAAACCAGTTTGACTCATGGATAGTGTCAGCCTGTGGACTGAAAGGTCCCAGGTTCAATTCCAGTCAAGGGCATGTACCTTGGTTGCAGGCACATCCCCAGTAGGAGGTGTGCAAGAGGCAGCTGATTGATGTTTCTTTTCTCGTTGATGTTTCTAACTCTCTATCCCTCTCTCTTCCTCTCTATAAAAAATTAATGAAATATATTATTAAAAAAAGAAGAAAAAAAAAAGTCAATAAAGGCTACAGTAGTACAGGTGGGAAGTCCAAGATCAAGGTGCCAGGAGGCTTGGTTTCTCCTGGGGAATTTATCCTAAGCTTTTACTTATTTATTTTTTTAATTACAGTTCTTTATTGTTGTATTAGATATGTCTCCTTTTTCCACAATTGATCTCTCTCCGGCCACTCCCAACTCCCAGCACAGGCCCTCACCCCTCTATTGTCTGTGTCCATTGGATATGCTTATATGCCTGCATACATGCAGGGGCAGAGTGTGGGCACTGCCCAGTGTTGGACATGCAGGGCAGAGTGCAGGCACTGCCCGGTGATAGATAGTTTTCTTTTATTTTTATTTATTTATTTTTATTTATTGATTAAGGTATTACATATATGTCCTTATCATCCCATTGTCCCCCACCCCCAACTCATGCCCTCACCCCCCTGCTGTCTGCATCCACTGGTTAGGCTTATATGCATGCATGCAAATCCTATGGTTGATCTCTCCCCCTTAACCCACCCTCCCCTACCTTCCCTCTGAGGTTTGACAGTCTGATCAATGCTTCTATGTCTCTGGTTCTGATTTTTTCATTGGTTTATGTTGTTCATTATATTCCATAAATGAGTGAGATCATGTGATATTTATCTTTCTCTGACTGGCTTATTTTGTGGTTAAGTTTTAAAGGAACCTGAAGCATGAAGAAGGCTGAGAATGTTCACATAGACTTTGTCAAAGTGGCTAGCAAACTAGGTAAACTATTGAATTGATCATAAAAGGGTCATTTCTGATTTCAGCAAGCACCTGTTTGCCTTGCATTAGGGTTCCAGAGAAATTTTAGGGCCACCAGGTGCCCCAAGCAAAGAATCTTCTTCGTCTGGTGGTTGGGTCATCCTAATCTCAGCATGGCCAGGAAGAAAAGTGCCTGCGCATCAGAATGAAGGGTTTCCTCTTGATCCAAGGCTGCTCTAGACTAGTTAGAGGCTGGGCCAGCCTGTCTTATTCTGGTGAAAGGCAGTCTGTCCGTAAAGATCACTTCATTTTTTTTTACTAAGGGCTCACAAACCAGTTGGTAATAAAATCTGTCATAAAACAAAATTGCTAACCTGTCCTTTCACAAAGGATAGCATATTGTAGAAACTGCAGATTAGTATGTGCTTTTTCTGTTCTCTGCTTTCTTCCACCACTGAGAGCAGCTCTGAGATAATGGTCAACTTGACAAACACTTATTAAACATCTACAATATACAAACATCTTCCTTAAGCAAAGGAGAAAAAAAAAGACCACCTTAAACCTTAAGGAGTGTGTACTTCAATAGGGGAATATAAAAATAAATATGAGAGAACGAATAAGCATTCTAATAAAGATATAAATAAAGACTTATGGGCGCTCAGAAAAGATAATCCCAGCTGGAATTCTATGAAAACTAAATGCTTTAGTGAGTTTGGGACTGTAACTAAAGATTTTAATTAACTTAAAGTAATTTGGTTTTCTCTCTTTTTCTCTGATTTTGTCTGTCTTTCTCTCTTACATTGGACTTCAAATTCATCTCAATATTAACTTTTCAATTTTATAAACCATTCTCTTTCTTGATCAAAGAGAACTAAATAAATGGCAATAAAGAACAAATCTATAAACTACCATAAGTAGCACTTTTTGAATATAAAAGTATGTTTAGAATCTAAAATGTTTTGCCAATAAAATAAGAATTGCTACTTCCACTGTAATTTCTTTAAAGGAAATCCACCCATTGTGGCCACTTGCCTAATGATTTGCAAATGTCTAAAGTAAATAGGTGCCTCAAATCTTCTTTCTTTGTCAAATAAGCTAAAATGAAATAATGGAGTATTAAAAACATAAAATAGAACTTGAGTCAAAATTATTTTAATAGAATCCAGTAAAATTTAGAATTTCATCAGACTCGAGAAGAAATCAGAAGATAATTAACTGATAGAGCTGTTACTGCACAAGTAAATTCAAAATTAAAAAAAAGGATCAAAAGAATTTTTTAAAAATCTGATTACACAGCCCTGGCCAGGTAGCTCAGCTGGTTAGGGCATTGTTCTGATATGCCAAGGTTACAGGTTCGATCCTGTCGGGGCACATATAAGAAACAACCAATGACTACATAAATAAATGCAACAACAAATCTCTCTCTCTCTCTCTCTCTCTCTCTCTCTCTCTCTCTCTCTCTCTCTCTCTCTCTCTCTCTGTCTCATACACACACACACATGCCTCCCCTCCCCTTTCTCTTCCTCTCTGTCTCTAAAGTCAATTTTTGAAATTCTGGTTATACAAAGGAAATAAATAATCATGGGCAATAATAGAGAAATGTAAATTAAGGAAGCTCAAGGCATCATTTCATAACAATTTAACAATTAGATTAGGAACATTTCTTCTTGTTGTGATAATACCAAGTGTGGTGAGGTTACAATATAACTGGTAACCTGCTGATAACATGCTTAACCTCTTCTAGAAAATAATATGGCAATAGATAGAAAGAGAATACAAAATTCAGACTCATTAGCTCAAGAAACCCAATCTTGATCATTTATCCTAAAGAATTCAACCAAAGAATAAAATCTATTATATGAACAAATTGTTAATAGTAATGTCAGTAACAGAAAGGAAAAAAAAAACTGGAAACAACGTGCTATAGACCAGTAACATCACAATTAGAAAGCAAGTTCTCTCCAGTCTGCAGAGTGGAAACAGGACCAGAGGACTCTGGGGTTGGAGCTGCAGGCCAAGGAGCAGCTCCACACACAGCATGTGCTAAACCCTGCAGTGAGCAAGGCTGACAAGGAGGGCAGAATAGGAGGTAGAACAGGACTGAGCTGAACAGAAGGAATGAAGAAAGATAAGAGAAGATGAAAGTGAAAGCAAGCTACTCCTGCTGAGGCTAGGCAATGGCAATATGAGTCTGCTGGGAAAGAGTTGGCATCCAATTAAAATTGCATTAGTATTATTGTGCTTCTTTGTACTTCTCTAATTCTCCATAGTAAATATATGTATAATCAGAAAATAAAGCTATTTTTAAAGAGAAAATAAAATACAAAAAATCTAATCCTTGCTACTCTTAAGTATATAGCCTTTCTACAAATTTAGACTCTTAGGCCCCACCACAGACCCAGTGAATCAGAATCCCAGGTAAACAAATCCACAGGTTAGCAATTAACCAATGGATAGGTTTTCACACATTTTTTACGGTATGGGAAGTGCTACTCTAGTTCCCCTGGGCCCCACATATCCAAAGTGAGTGCTGTGTGAGAACCTACCGAGCTTTGCTGTAGCCTTTCTGGGTGAAGACATGTCCCCATGTGCAGATGAGATGGACAAAATGCTTCTTATGTCCTGAGACTCAGCATAAGGTCTAACTAGTGTCCTGAGGCCAGCATACAATCGTTCACCTGGTCAAACACACAATGCAAAGGATTTTCTCTTAGACCACTGAAGTTTTCACAGCCTTGATATATTGCTCATTTATTCAGTCACTGTCCCTCAGTGGCTTAATTCTCTCAATGCCCTACTATGCTGGAATAGGTGCTTAGGAATACAGTATTGAATGGATATAAGAATTAACCAGAGTGTCTTCAAGGGTTCATGTTCAAGCTAAAAATCCTCACACAGGACAAACATTGTTTCTTTTCTAATCCTTCCCATATAGACCTGTGAAATAATCGTGCATTCCCTGCTTTGGTTAAAACCTAGAATATATTTTTTCCAGTGACCTTTCAATTAGCTACCTCCAAATGAAATGGAATTGCTATAATATAAATTTAAAAATTAATGTTTTGAAACATATATATTTTTAAAAAACTTTTAAATATAGAATGTTAAGAAAGGTTATTTAAAACATGAAAACATGGCAAAGAGAGAGGTGGCATGTTCTCTTGATGCTACATGAGGACATTGCATAACAGGATCTCTTAAGGATTAATTACTAGAGGCCTGGTGCACAAAATTTGTGCATGGGGCTGGGAGGGGGGTTGTCCCTCAGCCCAGCCTGCACCCTCTCTAATCTGGGACCCCTCGAGGGATGTTCAACTGCCCATTTAAATGGGCAGTCTGGGAGAAGAGGGAAGATGGCAGCATAGGAAAACACCTGTACTTGCTGCCTCTCACAACCACATCAGAGCTGCAACTGGGGATCTTATCTGAGACCTGAAAAAACCACAACTGTGGCGACCCCTGAGCAGCTGTGGGGCTCTGGTTAGTGTAGACATGTGCATTCCACAGAAAGGTTGGATTTTGAGGAGGATACTGTGGGGTATCTGGGTCCCAGCAGTGGAGGCGGCAGCTGCAGAAGCTGTGGCAGCCGAGACAAAAGCACACATGCTGTGACCACAAAAATCTGTGTCCACAAAAGCCCCCCTGGGTCCACAAAAGCTGTTAGGTCTGGCGTGATCCAAGAGAGTGGACAGGGGTCCCCAAGGTTGCTAATAGTGGGGTTCTCTAGGGAGCAACACATTCTTATCTGACATGGAGAGAGAACATAGGAGTTAGAAAGGTATGCAGTCTGTTTGTAATTGCATGCAGACTGGCCCATTGCACACCTGGCCTTGTTCCCCTGCAACCCTTTGCTTCTGATTACAAAGGCGAGACCACCCAGATTGGCTGGCCCTGAGAGACTGCAGGTGGATACTGCTTTCCTGGAAGCTGAGAAGCAAAGCGGGAGAGACCATCTGGGATTCAGCTCCAAGGCAAAATCTGCATTGAGTGCCATGGAGAAAGAAGGCTAGAGCAGCCAAAAAGACAGGGATATCAATCCAGAAACACTGCCACTTAGGGGCTGGAGTACAAACTGACTGTGTTTATTATTAGTTTTATTTAATCAAAAACAAAGAAACTAAGAAATCACCATCTTAAAATTAAGGACTAGCTTACAACACTGAGGTGCAGTGGAACACAGGGAACTGCAATACTGTCTGGACTGAGAAACAGGAGTGCCAAACAGAATAACGGAGGAAGTGAATGGCCTTCATAACTGCACACTTTTTTTTGCTAATTTTTTTAGTTTTATTTTATTTTCATTTTTTGCATCCTTTACTTAAGAAACGAATTTTTTCCTTTTTTCCTCACTTGATTTTGCCTTTTTAATTATTAAATTTTTAGGTTCAATCAGCATTATTACTATGTTATTTTAACTTTTTTGTTTCCTTTCTCTTTTTTCTTTTTTAGGTGCCATTTTATTTTCTCTTTAATTTATATTGGAATTAGTGTCCTTTATTCTATTTTCATTTCTCCTTTACCATTGTTTAACCCTATCTCAACACAACCTTTACGCCATTACTCTCTTCCTAACCTTTCCCCTTTTGCTGTCTAGTTTATCTTAACCCTTTCCTGCTTTAGGTTTTCCCTACTCTTTCTGTCTTCCCCCTGCTAAAATTTCTACCCTACTTACATATTTAATTTCCAATCCCCTGTGCCAAGTGCATACACACCCCTCTCTTAGCTGTATTAACTAGCAAAAAAAAAAAAAAAATTTGATGCTGTTTGTGTGAATGTTGATTATATTGTATTTTTATGCTTTTTAGTGAGATTACTTTGCTTATACTTTTATTGTTGCTGTTGCTTGGTATTTTTTTATTTGCTTGTTTTTGTTTGATTTTTGCTTCTGTTTTCTCTTGCTTTGCTGGATATTAGTAGGTGTGTAGTTTGTATAATTCTCCAGGTACTGTTGCCAGCATTTGCTGGGGTTAGTGGATGTTCTATTTAAATTCTCTCCCCATATATATAGTTTGTTCCCCTTTTCTTTCTTAGTCTCTTTCTTCTCTCTCTCTCTCTCTCTCTCTCTCCCCCTCTCCTCTCCTCTCCTCTCTCTGTTTCCCAATTTTATTTGACACTCCTTTTTTCCCTATCTTTTTCTTTTTCTCCCTCCCTCTTCTCTTTTTATTCTTCTTCTTTATCTCCTATCCCCTAATTTTCCTTTCCCTAGTGGGCACCTTTATTGGAGGTTATTAATATCGCAAATACATTTCTGTTCAGTGCCTTGTGTGTTGTACCTGGTTGTGTTGTATTTTGTGCCTTTAAATCAGTGCAGGAGAGATCTACATAACCAGACATCCTGAAAAGAGAGACCATGGGGAGACAAAACAAACAGTCCACATATGAAAGAAAAGCAGGCATCACCAGAAACGGAAGTAAATGAGTTAGAGGCAAGCAACCTACCAGAGCAAGAATTCAGAGTAATGATCATAAGATGGCTAAAAAGAATGGAAGACAAATTTGACAATATGAGTAAGAACCAAGAGGAAATAAAGAAGATTCTCAGAGTCACTATTATCAGAGAGATGCAAATTAAAATGACACTGAGTGTTGGGGCAGACAATCAGACCCTAAGCTTCTCTTTTAGATATAGTCAGTAGGGTAAGAAATATTAGGAGCACACGTGTGTTTGTAGTGTCCTTTAAGCAAGGGCACACAAATATTAAGCATAAGGATTCTAGTAAACACCCAGAGGTCTGTACGTGCATATACTTGTTTGGAAAAGTCAAAGAATATTAGGTGCACCGCCATCGGCACTCCCCTAAGTGAGAATTCTAAAAAACAGGCAGGGTGGCCTTCGGCATACTTCCCTTTTCTCAGAATGTCCTCCTTACAAAACTTTCCAACCAAGTCTCATGCTTCCCCACAACTGAGGTCTCACCTCACACCTGTCAGAATGGCTTCCATCAACAAATCAACAAATGACAAGTGCTTGCAAGAATATGCTGGTGTGAGTGCACTGCTGGTGGGAATGCAGACTGGTGCAGACACTGGAAAACAGTATGGAGTTTCCTCAAAAAAAAAAAAAAAACTAAATATGAAACTGTCATTTGACCCAGTGATCCCACTTCTAGGGCTATATCCTAAGAAACCAGAAACACCAATCAGAAATAATGTATGCACACTTATGTTCATAGCAGCACAGTTTACAATAGCTAAGATCAGAAAATAGCCCAAGTGCTTATCAGTAGATGAGTGGATAAAAAAGCTGTGGTATATTTATACTATGAAATGCTATGCAGCAGTAAAAAAGAACAATCTCTTACCCTTTGAGACAGCATGGAGGGACCTGGAGAGTATCATGCTAAGTGAAATAAGTCAGAAAATGACAAGTACCATATGATCTCACTCATATGTGGAATCTAATGAACAAAATAAACTGATGAACAAAACATATCCAGAGGCATAGAAGGATAGAACAGAGTGTGGGATCTCAGAGGGAAGGATGGGTGGGAGGTAATCAATCAAAGACCATATATATATATATATATATATATATATATATATATACACACACACACACACACACAACCCATGGACATGGACAATTAAGTAATGAAAGCCTGGGGAAGGAGGTGACAATGGGCTGGAGAGAGTTAGTGGGGGAAAAGGGAACATACGTAACACTTTCAACAATAAAGATTAAAATTTGAAAAAAGTTGTGGTATACTTACACAATTGAATACTACTCTGTCTTTTAAAAAAATCTTTTGCAAAAGCATAGTTTACTCCTAGAGGGTAAGTATTATTCTAAGTGCATTAAGCCAGTCAGAGAAAGACAAATACTATATGATTTCACTTTTATATGGAATCTAATGAACAAAATAAACAAAAAAAAATAGAAACAGACTCATAAATATAGAGAACAGACTGAGAGCTGACAGAGGGGAGGGGCTTAACACTGGGTGAAATAGGTGATGGGATTAAGAAAAACACTCATAGAGACAGACAACAGTTATCATGACTATTAGAGGGTAAAGGGGCTTGAAGCGAATAGCAATAGGAGATAAATGGTAATGAAAGGAGACTTGACCTTGGGCAGTGAACACAAATACAATATACAGATGATGCATTACAGAATTGCACACTTGAAACCTATATAATTTTACCAATCAATCACCTCAATAAATTCAAAAGGATCTTACCCTGGAGCCTTCAAGAAAGCATGGCCCTGCCGACACTTTGATTTCAGACTTTAAGTTTCCAGAACTGTAAGAGAATACATTTCTTTAGACACTAAGAGCATAAAACATAAAGGGAAAAAATTGATAATTAGAATAAAAAATTAAAAGTTTCTGTTCTTTATATGATACCATTAAAAAAATACAAAGAGAAACAAACAAACAAAAAAAAGGCAGCAGAACAGACAGATGTGTCCCGAGCCTTGTCCCAAAGCAGATAAAAAGAAGAGCTAAGGGCTGCATTAGGAGTGTTTGTTGGTAAGCTGAGGGACAGCTATAGTCCAGAAAGTGGCGGACTGCTGGACAGGGCTCCCCTGACTGGGCAGCCCCCATTGCTGCTGGGTACCCTCCGGGAGTGACCGG